CTTCCGTCGCGCCCTCAAGACATGGCTCTTTCAGCAAGCGGACCTGACCTAGGGTGGATTTTATACTGGGTTTTTTAGGAATTTGGAAGACGCAACTTTAAATTTGGTTTAATTCGGTTTTAAGGGGGGGGATTGTATATATGTTTTGGTTTTAAGTATGTTGTGCGCTGCCCTGAGTCCCGCCGGGAGAAGGGCGGCATATAAATTAAATTAAATAAATAAATTAAATAAATAAATACATAAATATATGTTCATATAGTTGCTGTATTAAGCCATTGAAAGCTGTCAGATTCTGTTTTTAATTGTTAGCCATTCAGAATCATTTATGTGATGTGAGCAGCAAAATTAAAATAGCTTTAAATAGATTATTTAAATCTATTAAATAAACATAAATTGCGAGCAGTGATGCTTTAGCTAAAAATTATTACATGGTCTGCCTATTCAGAAATTCAACATTGCAAATAATAATCATAATCGTTTATTTAACTTGTTTGCTGCCTGATTCTCAACAACTCTAGGTAGCTCACAACAATCAAAGAAATTATAATAAAACCAATAAAAGCTAAAAAAAAAATAAAAATGAAGATGGCAAGTGTCATGAAGTGAGGATTTTCAGTCTTCCTTGCCAAAGGCCTAGGTCAGTCGTTCTCAACCTTCCTAATGCTGCGACTCTTTAATACAGTTCCTCATTTTGTGGTGACCCCCAACCATATTGTCTATTCTATTCTCTCTTCCATATTGTCTATTCTACTCTACTCTACTCTACTCTACTCTACTCTACTCTGGTCTGGTCTGGTCTGGTCTGGTCTGGTCTGGTCTGTATTCTATTCTATTCTATTCTATTCGACAATTTAGGATCGTCTTCTTCCTGGTTATTCAAAAAAGATTCAGTTATAGAAATGCCAACTTTCCGATCATTCTCTACATCTCCCAGCTTTGCATTTGGAATGAAATGAATCCCAAATTGCCCTTAGTATATTTTATTATTTTATTTCAAAACGGTCAGAGAGGAGGGTAATTTCCCTAAAAACCGCCCGCTGTGGCACTCGAGCTCCTGTCTCTCAGCCCCGCCCCTTTCGAGGAGGAGAGTTTGGGTGCGGGGGAGCAGAGGGAAAGCGTTCTCTTCTCACGGAGGAAATTGGCTTCAGTGGCTCGCCGTATGCGAAGCCTTAAGCAGCATGAGAGTTGGAAGAGCGAGGGGTTCCCCTTTCCGTCCCTGCTGCGGTGCTTGCAGCTTTGTGGGTTGGAACTTTCACACTCGCGGGATTCAAAACGTCACAATGGCTCAGAACGTTCAGAGTGTTACATTGTCTCTCACGCTGCCCATCACTTGCCACATTTGCCTGGGAAAGGTAAGCGGTGTCTCGGTTCCTAAGACCATCGGAAATATGTGTTTTCTGATGGTCTTAGGCAACCCCTGTGAAAGGGTCGTTCGACCCCCAAAGGGGTCGCGACCCACAGGTTGAGAACCGCTGGCCTAGGTGAAGAGCTAGAAGCTTCATTTTCAGCATATTATCACTACTGACAAAACAAGTTAAAGAAAAATTTAACAATTTCTAAAAATAAACAGAAAGTAACAGTCGTAATAGGAGAACAGGTACCAATATTATTGCTAATCTCTGGGCAAAATATGTAAATGCATTTCTTAACAATGTTCTTATTGAGGTCAATGCATTTTGGAGTCCTGCTCAAGATTGAATCAGACTTGTTTTAAATCCCATCCTAGAAGATACAGATTCTTTAATAGCCTGTTCTTTAGAGCTTTGCATCAAAGAGGGGGTAGAATGGTTATTAATTACTAGTAAAATAGCAGTCATTATCCATGAGCAGGATTTACGTGGCATATAATTATTATATTACATAGTATTGCTATTATATTTTTATCCTGCCTTTTTTTATAAATAACTCAAGGCAGCAAAAATCTCTAGTACTCCTGTGTCCTATTTTCCACAAAAATAACCCTTTGAGGTGGTTTGGACTGAGAGGCAGTCATCTAGCCAGCTTTCATGCTGAAAGAAGGCCTAAAATTAATTGTCTGCTAGTTTCTAATCCAGGCCATCCTGTTAAACATCTGTCCAAATTGCAAAAATGCTACACTAAACTCTGCAGTGTGTATAGTTCTTAGTGGCAGTCATTTGCTACCACTGGAGAAATAGATACAGAATAAGAGAAGTGGAAGGGACCTTGGAGGTCTTCTAATCTAACCCCTGCTCAAGCAGAAAACCCTATAAAATTTCAGACAAATTGTTGTTCAATCTCTTCTTAAAAACCTCCAGTTTTGGAACACAAACAACTTCTGGAGGCAAGTCATTCCACTGATTAGTTCTTTGAACTATCAGGAAGCAAATACATATTTGGAGTAGAATTTAGCCAATTCTGTTTCTCTCATGAACCTTCCTTCTATCTGCAGTGCTCTCATCCAAGTTGAGGAAGGAAGCAGTATATACCCAGAAATACAATTTGATGTTCTGGGACTCTCCCGCTGACTAAACAAAAGATGACCACATTTTTGTCTATGCTTTCTGTGTTCCCATAGTGGCCAGTCATATACCCTTGTAAGCCAAATAGATGTATATTAGAGCTCACATTTCATCCAGATGTTATTGAGAGGCAATCTGATTCTAAAGGAGATTTAATCTGTTACTAGCTTTATTTCCTGCAACCGTGGGGTTTTTTCCCCATTGAAAACAGTCTAAATTGGCATTGGCGCATAATATAGAATTTTGAAACTCAACTTGATCCATTGAAGAAAGACTTTCTCTTTTCAATCCTGAATTTGCCACTCTTAAATTCTTTGTCAAGTTAGAGTATCTCCATGTCCATGTTTTCCATACCATGCATAATTTCAAAATATCTCAACAGTATTGGGATTCCTTTTCTAAGCTAAAGCAATTGACTGCAAAGATATGTTTTGCTGGGGGAGTGGGGGCAGGAATATCCATACTTGGGATACCACAATTGTGAGTAATCTTTCCTCATGGGTGGCTATCAACCTCACTTCAGGGACAGGAACACCACCAAACACCATGCACTTTAATCCAGGGTTAGGCAGAGACCAGATGGTCTGTCTACCAAGATACTTATCTGACACCACAGTTTGTGCCAGGGCAAGTTTCCTGCCATTCTTTTTTAGCAGCCCCACATGGTGTATTTTAGTACTCATGAGGTGTAGTACTCCAGTATAAAGTTTCTAGGTATTTGAATAGCACGACTCAAATGTTTCCGGAAAGGGAAAGAGAGGATGCTGTTAGTTATTACCATCAGTGACTCATTCAGTAGAAAAACTGGATAAGGACACACCTGTAAATAACACTTCTTCAAGAATTTGCAAGATCTGTTTCCAGAATATTTAACTTTCACCAGTGAAATTCTCCCGATATCCTTGGACATGCTGCTTATTGCTGATGTAACTCCCTCATAACAATGCTAAGATAAAATAAGATATACCTAAGAATGATGCTGTGATCTTCTGAAGGAAAAGGCAAAATGGAAATGTATAGCATCAGTCACATCATATCTATGGGACCAAGGTTTAGTAGATAAGTAAATATAGGATGGTAATCATCATGCAAGAAGGTGCTGATCTGGACATCCCAGTTTAATTACCTTCACCAGCAAGTTACTTTTTTATTTAATATTTAGAGGTAGAATCCATTTATAATTGCCAAACTCAACTTGCTTTAATATGTATGATTTTACAGACTTTTTCCATTGGAATTAAGAGATTGAAAGATAATATTAATAATCACAAATGCCAAGCCTTGTGATGTAATCTTCAAAGAGAATTTGGAGTAGCTTCTATGGAGCCCTTTTGTTCACAATATTCATTTGATTTGCTCTAGCCACCCTGTTCCCTAGGAACATTTCCCATGGTGTTATAATCTGGAAAGTTAGGGCCCCTAGTAAGTTGAGTTTACCACATGTTGTAATTTCTTGATCATAGCAAGAGGCATTTTAAGCTTAGAGCAACAGTAGCAACTGCATGATAAGTTTCATGATAAAAAGTGCCCCAGTTCTGCTTAGATATTCTATACCAGGCAAAGCTGTCAAAGACCATCATGTTAACATAGTGCTTGGAGCATAGTTTATAAAGAGGAAGGTGTCTTTTGATATCACTTTCAGAGAAACCTTTTACATCTATTGAATACAATTAAAATTCAAAACAACTTAAAGGTGCTTTGATATCTGTGTATTTAGACCAGTTCTATGCAGATACAGCATCTTGCCATTGTTCTTCTGTTTTTCTTAAACTATGGCATTATGACAACTAGCAAGCTTCATGACCTGTATTAGATTTGTTGGGTGGCAAATTACGTGAGCTTTTTCTGAAGCAGCCTTCCCCTCACAGGCTCCAGATATGTTAGTGGGAAATTTTAGCATTGTTTGTCATCCCATCTACATGCTACCACATTAGAGGAGCATATGTTAAGACAGGAAGGTGCAACTTCACCAGCTCAGAGACTGCCTCAAACTGTGAATGTGCATAAGAAACCAAGATTCTTTTTGGCCATTTCAGCAGTTTTAAGGGATGAAATATACAGCTTAAACCTCTGAAAGACTTAAGAAACTTATAGGAGAGAGAGAGTGAGAATGAGAGTGAGTGAGAAAGAGAAAAAAAGGTGAAAATGTCAGCCATTCTGGTGGGTTCAAGGATCTGCATAAAGAATTCTCTTGAGAATATAAGCCCTTTGCTTGTCCTTTCTGCTCTACAATCTTGCTGAAATTATAGGAACCTCTTTCCTGTGATTCTTAACTTTCCTGACATTTTGGTAAATTATATATTGCCATTTGGTAAACTGTTATCAGAGACTTTGTTATGTTTCTTCTTTTGCTCAGTTTGAGAGAAGCTAAACTTGGAAACCTTTGGCAGCTTACATATCCACACCGTTCTTGTTGCTGTTAATTTAATGTTCATATTAAATTACACTACATGAACTTTTTTTCCCTTCCCTGCTGATGGCAGCAGAAAAATTAATCCAATTATTTTCCCATTCTGACAGAGTTACAGAGACAAGACAGTGTGAAGCCCCAGCAAAAAGACATCCAGCTGTATGACACACCTTACGAACCTGAAGGCAACTGCGTGGAATCTGATTCAGAAAGTGCTATGAGTCAATGCCTGAGAGAGAGCAAGTTGCCACAGGATGATGATAGGCCCGCAGATGAGTATGACCAGCCATGGGAATGGAATAAGATCACCATTCCTGCTCTGGCAGGTGAGAGCCTCTGAAGGAAATCGTTACAATTCTGTCTTGTGTCTCGTAGGAAATATTAAAATATGGAGTGTTAATGCTGTTTTAGAGCATAATAGAATGATTTTGTGATGTCTAGTGTATTTTATTGAGATCTAAGAAAATCAAACAGAAAGCCTTGCTGTTCAGAGGCAGCACACTTCTGAACAATAAACAAGGAAAACTGTCAAGACTGGGTCATAGCTACAGGCTCGGTACACATATTCAGACAATGGAATGTGCATTATCCTACAGAGGACCACTAAAACCCTTTTCTGGAAACAGTCCTAGCTCCATATCTGAATTCTTATCTTAGCTTTTGGTTTTAACTGGCTGGGTGTCAGAAGATATTGGGGAATTGCAGTCTATTCCATTTGATAGGCAGTTTGTCAGATTCAGTCATGGTAGCTAGGTCTCACAATGTGGCATCTGCACATAATATAACCATCTCTTCAACCAGATCTGTCAAAACTTCAGAAGCCAAAAACAGGGGGAAAGATATCATAGATGGCAATTTGTCAGTATTATCATGGGTGGATTTGTGGATGCAGGACTGAATTGTATAGGTACAGAAAAATCCAGTAACATTTGTTTACTATTTATTTTACTGGAGCCAAAATAATGATGATTTTCAAAATCTTACGCCTGTTCCATATTTTACTTCACAGAAACTTAAATTTTCATAGACGACTAGATTTTTGATGGAGTGACAGCCATAGAGGGAGTTTTTAATTTTCTCTTAGCTATTGAAACATTACTTTTTGTAAGTGAATTAATTAATCTGACAACCCAAAAGGCATAGTTTAGTATCAATCATATATAAATTCAGATTAGCAAGATGAGGTTGCTACACAGTCATTTGGGAGATTATTCAACACAACTTGTTGTTTTGAAATGTGTGTAAGGTAAGAAATTGAGTTCCATTATATCAGGTAAAAAAAAATTAGCATTAAATGAAATTTCAGGAGCTGTTTTCAAGATTGTTTTTATCACATTGAAAAAACTTTGGCTTTTGGCCTTCACTATTTTGGCTGTGAGGCTACTCTATTTGGTGAGGAAATTTCTCTTCTATCTCTGTCTCTCTCCCTTTTTCTCTCTGCTATTTTCTGTATATCTATATATTTGTATCCAAAACATCTGATACACGAATAGATTATAGCAGATAGGATTGTGCCTTAAATGTCCCCCCCCCCCGTATCTGCTACTGCAGACCCTCCAGACTTCCCAGAGGTGCATCACAGAGCATATTTGCCCTTCCTCACTACGTCCTTCAGAATTGAATTTGAATTCATTTTAAAACTCTCGTTACCTTTTAATTTCACATATTTTATTCTCCTACCACAGCTTAACAACCTGATTGGCAGGAGGAATGAACTTCCTTCCTAAATCATTGAGATGCAGACCAGAGTTGTAGATGTGTCTGCTGTCTAAGGTATTGCCTTTCTGTGTATAATAAGCCCCGAGGAGATGCTACTTCATTTCTTTTCACTTGAAATCAATGCTAGTGTAACTCATAACTATATAACCAGATTCTGGAATGATTCCTTATTGTTAATTGAATTTCTGGTACAAGTGTGTTGAGGCAGTTGCTGTTAACAGAAGAGATTCCCTAACCAGCTTTCTGGGCAGAGGGTTGTATTTTGATGTTATGCTTAATTTGGTTGCAATTAATGAGGCAACATCTGTTTGTTAGAAATTATTGTTCTGTACAAGTGAGTGGAAATTTTAACCTGTGTGAAACTGCATTTGTAGAAGATAAAGAGCAGTATATATCAATGGTGACTTTTTCTGTGTATGCTAATGCTTTCTACTGATTTTCTGCTTAACTGAAGATTCTAATTAGCAGTTTTGCTCATCCAGTACATACTAAGAGTAAATAGGTATTTAGTGTTCAAGACTGTAGCCACAAAGGAGAAGTTGAGTGCCTTGTGAAATATTGTAGATTTCTCCTCTAATTTTTTAAGATGTCCTAAAGTTTTAAGAATGTTCTCATTTGGGACAAAGGGACATATGTACACTGTGCTTGAAAGTTTGTGAATTGTTTTAAATTTTCAATATTTGCATCAATATGACCTAAAATGTGGTTTGTTCTCTACACAAGTCTTTAAACTAGATTAAGAGAACCCAGTTAAATAAATGAGTCAAAACATTACAGTAGCCCTCGACTTACAACCTGTCATTTAATGACCATTTGCAGCACATTTCAGTATCACTTCCAGCCAGGGCTTTTTTTCTCGGAGAAAAGGTGGCGGAACTCAAACCTGGCCACGCCCTCATCAAACCCTAGGACCGCCCCTTTAGAGAACAGGAATACAAGTAAAATTTGGGAGGGGCTATTTCCGGTGTGGGAGGGGCTATTTCCGGTGCGGCCGGCCCGGAAAAAGGTGCCGGAACGCGGTTCCGCCGNGTTCCGGCTGAAAAAAAGCCCTGCTTCCAGCCCTCATAAAACATCCTGCCACTCCCTCCCTAGGTAACATGACAGTTCGGGTCCTTGGCAACCTGTTTGTATTTACAACTGTTTGCCAAGTGCCCTGCAATTTATGGATTCTCTGCTGGCCTGCCCAGAAAATCAATAGGAAAGCTGGCAAGAAAAGTTGCAAAAATCAATAGGAAAGTTGGCAGGAAAAGTTGCAAGCCAAAGGGACATTGGATTTCAGCTCCATTCCCCCAGCATGCCAAGGGATTTCCCCTCCCCTTCATGCAGGGAGGGCATATCCTCCCACACACTAGAGCAGGGGTAGGCAACCTTGGCTCTTTTATGACTTGTGGACTTCAATACCCAGAATTCCTGAACTAGCCATGCTGACTCAGGAATTCTGGGAGTTGAAGTCCACGTCATAAAAGAGCCAAGGTTGCCTATCCCTGGTCTAGAGGAACAGACCTCAAATCTGGTGAAAAAGCCAGTGAAACAGCAATCTGCTGTGCCACTCAGAATTCCGACATTGGCTGTTGTTTTCCTCTCCCCTCTGGAAACTTCAGAAAAGCTTCACTCTCTGAGGGATGGAGAAAACCCTTAGAGTACTGGAGGAACAGAGATCTGACAAAAATGCTAGTGAACATCAGTGTTCATGCGATTGTTCTCTCTTGTGGGGCAGGATGAGGGTCTAGGTCTCCTACGTTTCATGGGAGGCTCATGCTGTCTCTTGGAGGTCCAGTTAACAATCCACACAGTTACATAATGACAGCAACTGGAGAGCCAGGATTGCAGTCATCAAGCAAAGTAGTTACATGGCATCTCACTTAATGAACACTTTGATCAGTGACCAAAATTCCAGCCCAATTATAGTCATAAGTGGAGAATTTTTTGAATGCTTCTTCATGAATCTGAGGGAAATGTGTGTTGCAAAACTATATGAATCATTACTTTCAGTAACGTGTGCACATTTCCAAAAGCTGTTGATTAGTTCTGCACATCAGCTTGGAGGAATTTTAGCCCATACAGAACAGCTTCAAGGACGTTGGTGAGCTTCCTCACATGAATAGCCCATTTCAGGTCCTTCCACAATATTTCTATAGGATTAAGGTCAAGAGTTTGATTTGGCCATTCCAAAACATTAGCTTTCTTCTAATTTAGTAATTCTTTGGCCATATGCCTTGTATGCTTTGGGTCGTTGATTTGTCACATGACCCATTTTCTCTTTGAGTTTCAGTACATTAACATATACCCTGACATTTTCTTGTAGAATTTGCTGGTACTATTCAGGATTAATAGTTCCATCAGTGATGGCAAGATGTCCTGGTCCAGAAGTGGTAAACCAATCTGAAACCACTGTCATCACTATGTTTCAGAGATGAAATAAGATTTTTATGCTGAAATGCATTATTTGCCTTTTGCCAAAATATGCTTTTCATTAGAGCCAAAAAAACCCTCTCTATTTCGGTCTCATCCATCCAAAAAACATTCTTCCAATAGTCTTCTGGCATATCCACACAGTTTGTTTGTAAACTGTAGATGGGCAGCAATGTTCTTTTTCGAGAACAGTGGCTTTTTCTTTGCATCCCTACCATGCATACCATTGTTGTTCAGTGTTCTGATGATAGTGTCATGAACATTGACATTGGCCAATGCAAACATGGTCTTTAGTTTCTTAGACATCACCTTGGGATTCTTAGATACCGCCCAGGGTATTGCATGCCTTGTTCTTGTTCTTAGTTGGATGACCACTCCTGAGGAGAGTAATTTGGAGTTGAATTTGCCTTACAGTGGCTTGGTGGGGTCTAAACTATTTGTAAATAGTTTTGTAATCTTTTCTAGGTGAGCATCAAATGTTTTTCAGAGGCCTTCAAAAATCTTCTTTGTTTGAGCCATGTAAATGTGTTATGTAAACAATTATTTGATAGTGAATACTCAGAATGCTGTTATTTAAATAAGGCAGATGATCACATCTGATCATCATCCATTTTATTAAAGCACTTGACTCTAATTTCTCCTTTAAATGAACTGATAATCCTGGAGGTTCACATATTTTTGCCACACATAGATATGTATGTTTGGATTATTTTCCTAAATAAATCAATGAACAAGTATAATATTTTTGACTCATTTGTTTAATTGGGTTCTCTTTATCAAAATATAGGACAGATCACGTTTTAAGTTGTATTGATGCAGAAATACTGAAAATTAAAAAGGGCTCACAAACTTTTAAGCACCACTATATTCAGTTGCTTATAATTAAGCCTTCTTTGTTTCAGCGTGGCTATTTGGAAGACTGACAAGAATTTGACATTATTTTATTATCAATGGAGGCCCAAAACTTTTTGCAACTTGAAAATGACATCCTAACTGTCATCACTATTAACATTAAACAGTCTTGTTCATTTAAATTCCTTCCTCCTTTCTATTCTTCCTCCCTTCCTGTTTCAAGCAGTGTGAAATAGGTTGCTCCATTCTGCTGCATGACTAGGCCTGTTCCATTATTTAAAATTGAAAAGCACTGAGCATCATTTTACTAATTAAATTATTTCTAGCCAGACCTATTACTTTA